ACATTGGCGACGGGAATACACCTGTCGCTAATGTACATTGGCGACATGCATTTTTCGTCGCCAATGTACATTGGCAACGGGGACAAACCCGCCGCCAATGTACATTGGCGACAGGGACAAATCCGTCACCAATACACTTTCGCGACGGGGCGGAGTCCGTCACCAATAATCCTGTCGCCAATAAACATTGGCGACGGGGAAATCCGTCGCCAATGATCATTGACGACGGATAGGTATTGGCGACAGAAAACATTGGCGATGGGTTATTGCCCGTCGCCAATGTACATTGGCGACGGATGTATTCCCGTCGCAAATGTACATTGGCGACGAGTATGAGCCCGTCGCCAATGTACATTGGTGACAGATGTATTCCCGTTGCTAATGTACATTGGCGACGCGAATACATCCGTCGCCAATGTACATTGGCGACGGGTTACAACTCGTCGCCAATGTACATTGGTGACGGATGTATTCCCGTCGCCAATGTTTTCCATCGCCAATACCTATCCGTCGCCAATGAACATTGGTGACGGATTTCCCGGTCGCCAATGTTTATTGGCGACAGGATATCGTGACGGACTCCGCCCGTCCGGCGAGAAGATGTATTGGTGAGCGATTTTGCTGGCATTGGCGACGGATTTCCCCGTCGTAATACTCAGTTTTCTACTAGTGATTCCAAACTCGACTGTTCTCAATAATTTTGACGACTCGCTGCCACGCTAGCTCTTCTGTGATGGAAAAAGTCAACCCCCGGTAGAGTCGCGGTTTGTCCTTTTGTAGTAGGAAGTTGCAAAATATGAAGGTTTACTTTCATTCTTCTTAACTTGAAAATGAAAAATTACAAGCTATCCTATGAAAAAAATTAGAAGGTATATTCTGGGAAAGTGCCAAGGGAGACTAAGTCTCTTGCTTCATTGACCACGAGGACGTCGTTGTTATTAAATCATGTTTATTGTTTGAGTTTGAAGTTGAAGGGAGCTTCTTTGATTCGGAACTCATCGGAAAGATATCACCTTGTTAACAAGTATAAAAGTCGAGTTTTTGAGTTAAGGATAGGGGGGGGGGTACCGCCACGAGATCAAAAATCAAGTGTTATAAGGACATAAAACTCTTGGATCACAAATAGTAGGCACGGCGGCATCAGGTTAGCTTAGCATCAGTAGACGTGGTAGAATGTTAGATCAACAGCCACGACGAAGCCTAAGGCTTAGCTCTAATGGAGAAGAAGCATGCAAACTACCAGCCATTCAACCTTACAACGGTTATGGTGTTTTCAATCAACAAATTATGATCCCTTGTCAACAACAGGCAAATATCCCCCATTACGCTCAATTCAGTCAACTCGACTCTTGGGACTACCAAGGTCGTGGTCTAGCCAACTCGTCGAGTGGACATCTCGCTGGGTTGACTCGAGTGACGGTACTTGTTGGTCCTCTCGTTAAAGACGACTCGCCACAAGCTTACTCAACTAGTTAACTAGTCGACATCTCACGAGAACCGACTCGAGAGGCGATACTTCTCGACACCCCTCGATACAAGCCAAAAAGCGACTTCAACCTCGAACCCCCCGCTTGAAAGTACCATAATGCCACTAGGAAAGAACCCTAAAGGGGAGTGAATAGGGTTTATGCTAATCTAATCTGATTTATGCCAATTAAAAACTTATTAACAAATATATCCTAGCAAGAATGATATATTACAAATATATGTGCAAGGATATACAAATAACACAAGGGTGAAATAAACACAAATAAACAAGAGTGATAGTGCGCAAATAAACAATACAAACACATAATATGATCACGGAGTTTGGACCTTCCGTCCTACGTCTCCGCTCCCTACTCTCGGGGAGAAATCTACTATCACAACCGGGTTTTCTACGCTCACCCGAATAACGTTTATACCTCACAACTCGGTTTTCTAGTTCATCGAAAATTTTACAATCACTCACAATGTAAACACACTAACTACCACCTCAAGTGTTGGTCTCTAGCCCGTGTCTCCCTCAAATGTTAGGAATTATAATATCTCTCTAGGCATTATCACCTACCCTACTCTTCTTGGGACGACCTCGTCTCTCACCACACACTCCTGTTGGTGTACTAGTGTAATACAAAGTGAACCTCACAATAATAGCTCACAACAAACGATTGTTCTCTAAACAAGGCGAGAACTCAATTAAGCACAACTCAAGGTTACAATCTCTCACACCCCAAATTATACTATGTATGTAAATACTAAAAGCTCAAGTGGGTGGGTGTAACAATGAGATTCAATAAATCAAAATCAAACTAAACTCAATATAAACTCTAGCTTAGAAAAATGATAATCAAACAATTATATATAAATGCATAGCTAGATTGAGTTTAGAAAACTTTTCCAATAAATGACAAGAGGGAGAGAGAGAAGAGTTGAAGCTCAAACACAAATGGTGATCTCCTCTAGCTCTTGTGAAAATTACTTCACAAAACCAAACTTGAAACAAACACTAAAACAAACTTAAGCACCCTTTAAACTTGTTTAAAAACTTTCTTTATACCTTTTAGAAGTTAGAGGGTATAGGGATATATAGGCTCATGAAACAACCCTAAAAAACCAAGTGAAACCCAGCAAAAAGATAAAAAAAACGGCAACATAAAAATCTAGAAAAACTAGTTGTTATGCCGTCGGTCGACTGATCAGTCAACTGATGAGCTGACCGTTACAAGTATTTTCCAGCTCATCAGTCGACTGACAATATTTATCAGTCGACTGATGGATCATCAGTCGACTGGTCAGTCGATCAAAATAAAACAGAAACTTTTTGTTATTCCAGGTGATTTCTTCAGTCGACTGATAACACTGTATCAATCTGATTAAAACAAAAAATCTAATTTTTAAACCTCTTTTAAAAATAGCAAATAAAATTAGAAAAACGTAAAACTTTGGAAAATAATTGTAAACATGATAATACACATGTTATAAAACCTGGTTTTCAAAAAACACCTCCCAAATGAGAAATCTTTTTATTTTTCAAAATAGTCCAAAACATAAAAAATACAACACTTGTTTTGTCATTTTGACTAAACCATGTTTTGAAAACTTTATAAACTGATTTTATAGAGTTGATAAAAGATACAAACTATTGTTGTTAAGTCTATAAACCAAAAACTCAATATTATGCAAAAATGAAGTTTTGCACAATATGCATTTAACAAAATGATAAATATGAATATATATAACCAAATACGTGTGTGTGTGTGTATGATATTGAGCTTAAGTATCTAACGCACATAATATAAACCTAAAACTAAATTATACTCAAGCTTGTGATCTTCAATGAAGCTCTATCTTGGTACACTTACAGATGAAACGGGAACTTGGATCTTTAACTTGAATTGCAAGGCTTCACTCCACTATTTTCGTCAACCTTCATTTGATATGATCGTTGTGGCTCAGTTCCATCCATCCTTCAACTTATTGTTTGCCTAAAATAGATACAAAACACAAACACTAGACAAACAACATTAGATGTAAATTATTTGTAAATCATCATCAAAACAAAAGGACCCAACACCGCTGACAGCACGTCGACATCACATTAAATGCTTGGTAGATGTCATCATTCCTCCATCCCTAACACTATTTATGGCACATCGGACCACGCCAGCTTCGTACGCCACCTATCCCATCTCATTAATGTCAATGTGATCGCGCCCATTTCATGACCACTCCACGAACGACACTTGTAAAGTCAATGTTGACTCAGCCGCCAGCTCAGACTCGGCCGAAAAGAGACCAAAATGCCCCACATACATGACTATAAAAGGGAAAACTATTCCTAGGGCGAAGGAAAACTATTCCTAGGGCGAGGGTAAGTAATTTGTCTGCATTTTTCTCCATTCCACTGCACTCAAGAGCTGCTACAG